ATCCAGTGGCTGATCAGAGAGGGATTGCAGGGATCTCTTTGCCAGTGCTGAGGCAGGAATCTCTTGTTTTGCCCATGTTTGGATCTGGGTCACAGTTCTGGGTGGTGGTGCTGGGGTGAGGAGGAACGCTGGCATGGTGGAGCTTGTAGTGGCTGTGGAGAGGACCCCCTCCTCACAGTTACAGGACAGAAAGGAGTACCTGTGGTCACAGGCCAGGAAAGGAGTAAACACCTTGCCCCTTATCATACCACCTTGGAAGAACTGAAAATTTACAGGCCCCTACAAGTATCTCTGAAAACAGCTGTACAAACCCCCGAAGCTTGGGACAGTACATTCTCCACATTGGAAGCAGATTCGTACCTTAACAAAGAGTTTAAAACTCAAGTAATTGGCTGGGATCATGAGCAAGCAGCGCAAAAAGAGTCAGACTATGCTCTCTTACACTGGTGAAAAAGAAGATCAAAACATGCAACCAGAAGAAGACAACAAAATCAAAGCTCCTACATCCAAAGCCTCCAATAAAAATATGAATCAGTCCCAGGCCTTGGAAGAGCTCAAAAGGGATTTTGAGAAGCAAGTAAGAGAAGTAGAGGAAAAACTGGGAAGAGAAATGAGAGTGATGCAAAAAAATCACGAAAAACAAGTCAACAGCTTGCTAAAGGAGACCCAAAAAAATACTGAAGAAAATAAAACCTTAAAAAATAGCCTAATGGCAAAAGAGGTCCAAAAAGCCAATGAGGAGAAATATGCCCTAAAAAGAAAATTGGCCAAATGGAAAAGGAAGTCCAAAATTACTGAAGAAAATACTTCCTTAAAAATAAGAATAGAGCAATTGGAAGCTAGTGACTTTATGAGAAATCAAGACACTAAAACAAATCCAAAAGAACAAAAAAATAGAAGAGAATGTAAAATATCTCATTGGAAAAACAACTGACCTGGAAAATAGATCCAGGAGAGAGAATTTAAAAATTATTGGACTATCTGAAAGCCATGATCAAAAAAAGAGCCTAGACATCATCTTTCAAGAAATTATCAAGGAAAACTGCCCTGATATATTAGAACCAGAGGGCAAAATAGAAATTGAAAGAATCCACAGATCTCCTCCTGAAAGAGATCCCCAAAGGAAAACTCCTAGGAATATTATAGCCAAATTCCAGAGTTCCCAGGTCAAGGAGAAAATATTACAAGCTGCCAGAAAGAAAAAATTCAAGTACTGTGGAAACACAATCAGGATAATACAAGATTTAGCAACTTCTACATTAAAGGACCACAGGGCAAATGATTTCTGGAGGGTAAAGGACATAGGATTACAACCAAGAATCACCTACACAACAAAACTGAGTATAATCCTTCAGGGGAAAAAATGGTCATTCAGTGAAATAGAGGACTTTCAAGCATTCTTGATGAAAAGACCAGAGCTGAATAGAAAATTTGACTTTCAAATACAAGACTCAAGTGGAACATGAAGAGGTAAACAGGAAAGAGAAGTCATAAGAGATTTATTAAGATTGAACTGTTTACATTCCTGTGTGGAAAGATGATATTTATAACTCATGAGACCTTTGTCAGTATTAGGGTAGTTGGAGGAAAAAAAATTATATGTATGTATATATATATATATTATATTATATATATAGATAGATAGATAGATAGATAGATAGATAGATAGATAGATAGATAGATGGCACAGGGTGAGTTGAAGATTAAGGGGTCATATCTGGAGAATAAAATTAAGGGTTGAGAGAGGAATTTACTAGGAGAAGAAGAAAAGGAGAGGTAGAATGGGGTAAATTATCTCACAAAAAAAAAACGGAAAAGAAAAGTCTCTTACAGTGGAGGGGAAATGGGGGGAGGTGAGAGGAAATGAGCGAATCTTATTCTCATAGGATTTGGCTTACGGAGGGAATAACATGCACATTCAATTGGGTATGGAAATCTGTTTTACCCTACAAGAAAATAGGGAGAGAAAGGGACAAGAGAGCAGGGGGATGATAGAAAGGAGGGCAGGTTGGGAAAGGGGGTGATCAGAAGTAAATACTTCTGAAGAGGGACAGGGTCAAAAGAAAGAATAGAATAAATGGGAGGGCAGGATAGGATGAAGGGAAATAGAGTTAGTTTTTCACAATACATCTACTATGGATGTGTTTTGCATAACTGCACATGTATAACCTATATTGAGTTGCTTGCCTTTTCAATGAGGGTGGGTGGGGAGGGAGGAAGAGAGAAAATTTGAAACCTAAAGTTTTAAAAACAAATGTTTAAAAAAATGTTTTCACACGCTACTGGGAAATAAGAAATATAGGAAATGGGGTACAGAAGTCTATTCTGCCCTACAGGAAAATAGAAGGGGAAGGGGATAAGAGAAGGGGGGAGAGATAGAAGAGAGGACAGACTAGGTGAAGGGATATTCAGAATGCATGCCATCTTGGGGTGGGGGGAGGGGGGAGACGGGGTGTAAATTTGGAACTCAAAATCTTGTGGGAGTGAATGTTGAAAACTAAAAATAAATACATTTATATTAAAAAAATAAAATAAAATAATCATAGTGAAATCAAGTCCAACCACTCTGTTCTCTCATCTCCCATAGAGCTTTGCATCTTTCCAACTGGATTCATATGTTCTGCCGTTTTAGATAGGTATGCAAAGAATGGACCAGGTGGACTAGCATTCACTAGAGAAGCATTCCCACTGTCCTTGAGTGAAAGTATCTACCCTACTCTTTATAGAGCCAATGATTGTCTAAGAGCTATTTTCATAAAACTGACCATTCTTACTAGAATATACATATCAAGTTTGATTCATCTTTTAATCTAACATAGAGCTTTGCACATTGAAGAAATTAAATACTGGCTAAATTAATTAATGGTAATCAATTAATAGTGGCCACTCCAAGACTTTAAAAATGGATTTGAATTGCTTTTAACTATAGGATCACAGGATTTTGAGGCTGGAAGAGAATATTGTGATAACTTAGTTGATCTCTTTATTTTAAAGATCAGGGAACCGATGACCAGAATGGCAAATGTGTCCAGGCTCACATGGCTAAGAAATGGCAGCAACAGAATTCAAACCCCAGGCTTCAAGGTACAGGGTAATAATGAAAAGAAAGAGCACTGAACTGGAGTCAGATGGCATGAGTTCCTAATCCTGCGTCTGATGCTTACTACAGTGTGATCTGGAGCAAGCTGCTTAATCTCTCTGGGCCTTGGGTTCTACCGTTAAATAAAGAGGTTGGACTAACTGGCCTCTGAGATTCCTTCCAATTCTAAATCTATCATCTAATTATATCAAATGTTGTAGCTTCTCCCATTACAGTTGCTGTTTAGTAAGCTCGATTTGTCCATCTTTAAAGATTAAGTGAAATATAATGTCTTTAATACTTTTAAATAGCTGATTTTACTATTTGCTGAGAAGATTAAACATGCCCAAACTGCATAATGCTTTGCAAGCCTGACTCTTTGTTAACACCTACCTAAAAAAAAAAAAGTAATTACTAGAAGAAAAGCCTTGAGTATTCAGAAAGGGAAAATAGCAATAAGATTCTGGCCAGCTTTTTGCTGGCAAAATAAAATTTAGTCAATTGTTCAGATGGTTCAAATCAATAAATACTTTCACCCAAATTATCTAGGAATAGTGATAGCCCGAGATGATCAGCCACTGAAGCTTGACTTGTTCTCATACAGCTACATCCACTAGACAACTATATTTGTGTTTATCTGCTGGCTATTAAAGCAACTGTTTAACACCAGGTCCCTTAATCATGTTTGTATCTTTTTGCCCATAAAGAATAATATTTTGATAAGCACATCACTACCTATCACTTGTCAAAGGACTCCATTAAACTAGTAGTAGCTAAATCCTATAGAATTATCAAGGGATATTTTTTTTACATGTTTCAGCTTCATGGAAAACTTCCTTAATGATGACAGAACTATGTATAGGTATGAATATGTGTGTGTATAGAGTATAGTTACTGCATATTAGCTCAGACCAGACTTTGATAGATATGTATTTGGTTGCTGTTATAGTTACCCATAGCAAAGGAAATAACAGAAAACTGAATTATGTGGGATATGGATGTTTCTTTTATATTATGCCATAGAAGACATTTGAGAGGTTCATGGGGCTCAGATGTTCAGTTCTATTCCAGAATCCCCAAAATACAAAGATCAAGAAAACTGGAAAAGTAGAACACAAATCCTTAATGAATTTGGTCAGGGTAGATAGTTGTTAGGGGAAAAGAGAATCTTAGGATTTGGATCTAGAAGGGACTTTAGAAATCATGTGATCCAACTCTATTGTTTTTTTTTTGTTTAATTGTATTGATACCTTTTTTACTCACCTTCTTTTCTAAACATCCCCCTTTCCCTCCCTTACCTAGCAATACTCCTTCTAACCAAAAAAGAAAAAAAGAAAAAGAAATCTAGCAAAATTAAACAACACATCAATTCAGTATGACAATAAATGTAATATTCTATAACCATTGCCCTCTACTTGTACAAAAACCAAAAAAGGGATGGAAGGGCCTTTTTTCCATCCCTTATTTGAAGACAAACTGAATCATAAATGTTGCCTTTGTTTTCAATTACATTGCTGGGTATATTGTTCTCCTGGTTCCATTTACTTTACTCTGTCGCAGGCCATTTCTCTTCCCATGTTTTTCTTCTGAATTCTTGATACTCATCATTCTTCATGGAACAGTGATATTTCATTACATTCATGGACCACAACTTTAGCCATTTTCCCAGCCAATGGGCGTTTACTTTGCTCCTAGTTCTTTGTTACCACAAACATTGCGGCTGTGAACATTTTGATGTGCATCAACCTCTCCACTCATTTTGGAGATGAGTATATTTTTGATTTGATATATAGATAACTCCCTCAACTTCCCCCTTGGATTTGACTGCATGCATAATCTGGGAAGGCTTTAGTAAGTCTCTTCAGCTGACAATTCAAAATCACAGAAACGATTAATACAACATCAAAGAACATGTGTATACCTGAACTCGTGTGACGTGTAGATACATAATACAAGCCACTAGGAAGCATATGCAGAACACCAGGAGAACCAGGACGATGATACTCCTAGGGGGAGAAATGCATTAGAACACCGATTCAGTCATGTGAGCATTTCTATACTTGTTTTCTCCATATATGTTCTTGTCATCTTCTTTTCCCTAACTCCTTTTAAGGTTCAGTTTAAGACTAAGCATGGTGACAGAGGCCTCTAATCTCAGCTCCCTTGGAAGCTGAGGCTAGCAGATCTCGTGAGCTCTGGAGTTCTGAGATGCAGTGGGTGTTTGTACTAAGCTTGGCCTCCATATAGTGAGCCCCTGGGGGAAAGTGCATTAGGTTGTCTAAGGAGAGGGGAAATGACCCAGGTCAGTAAGCTCCTGAACTGATCAGTGGTGGGATTGGGTGCATGAGTGGACACTGTGCTTCTAAACTCAACAAGAGAGAGAAATTCAATTTTTAAAAGGAAAAGAAAAATATTCAACTCAAATGTCACCTCCTTCTTTAGCTGAAAGTACAGAGACTATTTCATTTTTATCTTTTTTTTTTAATCTCCAATGCGCACAATAGTTTATGACACGCAATGGGTACTTAATGCTTATTGAACTCAACTGATGAGGTGACCTTGGGTTCTCAAAGTCTATGCTAACAGAATGGTACACTGTATGTCTGTCATTCTTTCAGTTTGTATCACTGGTGCTTTACACAATGTGTGGAGCTTAATAAATACTTGCTAATTGGTTTGATAATTATCTGAGACACAGATTAGTACAAATATGGATCAGCTAATCACCAGAAGGTTAGCCAACATGTGGTAAAATGTTTTTCAGCAGCAATAATTTATGAACACCAACTACTAAGTTTTGGAGGGGCTGCGAAATGTCTTGGTAGAGTATAATCATAATTTTTAAAAAGTAGGTCTAGATTTATGATTTTATTGGAGTCTATGGAAATCCCCTCCCTTCCTCCATAGTTGATCAGGTCTTTTCCTTAACTTGCAATCTTAATGTGTTGCCTAGGAAATATAAAGTTTAAGTGGCTTTCAAAGGGTCACAGAGAAAATGTACTTCATGAGCATGATTTGAACCTAGGTCTTGTTTGCTCAAAGGACAGTCCTCTAACCATTATAGTATACTCCCCCCAATAATAGTAATAATAACTGGAGTTTTATAACTTTGCATAGGCAGCTAGATGGCAACCTTGGACCTGGGTTTAGGGAGACCTACTTTCTTTTTTTGTTTGTTTGTTTGTTTGTTTTGCTTTTTGGTGAGGCAATCAGGGTTAAGTGACTTGCCCAAGGTCACACAGCTAGTAAGTGTTAAGTGTCTGAGGCTGGACTTGAACTTAGGTCCTTCTGACTCCAAGACCAGAGCTCTATTTACTGTGCCACCTAGCTGCCCCTTAGGGAGACCTACTTTCAAATGAAGTCTCAGCCACTAGCTGTGTGGGCATGTCACTTAACCTCTATCTGCCTCAGTTTCCTCATTTGTAAAATGGGGATAATGATAGCATTTAGCTCCAGGAATTGTTCTGAGGATAAAATGAGATAATACTTGTAAAGCACTTTGCAAAGTTGAAAGTACCATATAAATGCTTTTGTTGTTCAGTTGCTTTTCAGTCATGTCTGCCTCTTCATGACCTCATTTTTGTGTTATCTTGGAAAAAATATTGGAGGAGTTTAGCATTTCCTTCTCCAGCTCATTTTACAGATAAGGAACCTGAGGCAAAAAGGGTTGAGTGACTTGCCCAGGATCACACAGCTAGGTGGAGTCTAAGGCCAAATTTGAACTCAGATTCTCCTGACTCCAGGCCTGGCACTCCATCCACTGTGCCACCTAGCTGCCCCTATGAATGTTAACTGTTAATATTACATAAAATGCTTTATGTGCAATATTTCATTTAATCCTCTAACCAACCCTCTCTGGTAAATAGCAGAGGTAATATTATTGTAGAGACGAGGAAACTGTGATTCGTAAGGGAAAAGTGTCTTGCCCGAGGCTCCACCACTAATAAGGTGTCAGACCAGGCTTTTCCATCTAGATCTTCTCACACCACTGGGGACAAAGGGTGCTATTTCATTCTGGATGAAAATGCTGGCAAACAGAGTACAGGGCCACTCATTTTAGGCCTCTAATCAGTGTGTCCCAGTCACAAGCGTAGCTAGGAGGGAACTTGTCTTTCCAAACACTTTCTACTCATTATTTATGATCAATAAATATTTATTAAGCACCTACTACATACCAAGTACTGTGCTAAGTTCTAGGAATACAAAAAAGGCAATCCTCAAGGATCTTCCAATTTAATAGGAGATACAAACAAATATATACAATACAAGTTATATACAGGATAAACAGGAAATAATTAACAGAAGGGAGACATTAGAATTAAGAGGGATTGAGGAAGGCTTCCTATAAAAAACAGAATTTTAGTTGAGACTTAGAGGAAGTCATGGAGATTAGTAGGTGGAAGCCAGTGGGGTCAGCACAGGCAGAACAGAGGAGGGAAAACATTCCAGGCACAGACAATAGCCAGAGAAAAAACCCAGAGCTCAGAATGGAGTGTTCCTGGAATGGCCAGGAGGCCATTGATTGAAGAACAGGGTGTAAAAAGACTGGAAAGGTAAGAAGGGGCAACGTTATGAAGGGTTTTGAATGCCAAACAGCATTTTGTATTTGATCCTGCAGGAAACACAGTTTTTCTTCATATTTCTTACTATATGAAACATGCAGACATTTTGCAGCGAATTTAAAAATATTTCTTAATGAAAAATGTTTACATTAAAAATTTTAAGTCACATATGGGTCCAATTTGAAATAAAAGGCATTAATGAAATCTTTCAACTTAATTTTTTTCCCAAATGTTGATTTATTGCTTTGGAGTTACAAGGTTCACTTGAGAAAGTAAAGCCACAGTCAATGTAATTGATCTTTGATTGGGAGGAGTGGATTAAGGGAGCAGAATATTTTACAAGGTTTTCAACTATATTAAAGTGGGAAAAGCTACTCACTGTGGGATTATTAGAAGGTAGACAAGGCCAAATAAGGCAGCTAGAACAAGTGAAAGGACCACAGCACTGGTGAAATACTCATCTTGAAGCTGGTGATACTGTGGAAGGAGAAAAGTTGGAAATTAGATGCTGAGGAGATGCTTACAAACATTCATCTGAGAGGTATGCAGTGAGAAACAGAGTCTCAATAATATTTATAAAGGGAGTTTATAAAAATGTTATATTATCTCACGGATTTTAAAAATGTTAAAAGAAAAACATCTTCCCTTATTCCTCAAACCCTGCCTTTTTAAAAGCTGCTTTATTAGCAAAAAGAAAAACACAAATAAATCATAAAAACCAAACCCTAAATATCAAGGAACTTTCATGTGGGGCCTTGAGCTCAAAATTTTAAACTAGAGTCACTTACTTTTTCTTCCCGTTCTTTATGTTTGTACTGTAGGGTAAAGAAATTCAAGTCTGCCATCTCAGACTCTGTTTGCCGGGCTTCTATTAAACGGCTGATATATCTGTTAACTCGAGTTCCTGGGGTGGTGTAGACAATGTTTGTAGAAAAAGAAGATCGATTCCTGAGTTTTTCAGATGCTGTCCTTAATGCCCTCCTCTGCAGTATCAATGGAAATAAAAAGACTTGTTCAAAACTTTGATTAAAAAAAATCATATTAAAGAACCTCATTTGACAAAACATGTGTTTATTTTATCATCAAACCATACTTGCTGAAGTTTCTTTGTTAGGATCAGTTGTACAGTTTATGAAGATAATTTCTTACATGGTCTTGGCTGTGGCATAAATGGCAATATTAGTGTCAGTTGGAGAAAAAAGAACCCTAGCCAGTTTCTATGTTTTTGTCTTCATTGGTATGAAAACAAACCTGTAACACAGAGGAGACTGGAAATCAACCTGGAAATTAACATGGGTATATTTAAAAAAAATGTTTAGTTGAGGGCACAAATAAATATTTTAAGTATCAACACTGAGAAGCTCTGTCATGGCTCATAAAATATGATTGGCTTTTATCAAATTTTGAGATTTAGAGTCAGAAGGAAATTATGGATCATGTAATCTAGAGATTACCCATCTTAAAACTAGGCTTGGCAACACATCCTCCATAACAAAGGTGAATGGGCATTTCTCTGTTCTAAGACTTCGGTTGACAATGATGTCTTATTAGTGGATCATTTTCTTGTATGCCATTTCCATTTCCTCATGAGCTTTGAGAAAGAAATATTTTAAAGGAAGTTGTGAGAGTCAATGGATAACCCAGCTAGTCAGAAAGTGAGTCTGTTATAAGAGAGAGCTAGCCAAAGCACTACATTGGTATACCTGAAAGAGTAAAAGCCCTAGGGGAATTAGAATAACAGCTAGCATTTATGGAACACCTGAAGGTTAGCAAAGCAATTTACAGTTGTTAAGTCATTGGATCCTCCCAACAGTTCTGTGAGGTAGGTGCTACTATCACCCCCATTTTACAAAGGAAGAAACTGAGACTAGAAGAGTTTCAGTGACTTGGCCCAGGGTCATAAAACTAATGAGAAACTCAGGTCTTCCTGACTCCAAGTCCAGCTCTCCATCCAATGCAACACCTAGCTGCTTGAAGAAGGAAGAACTCTGGTATATGAGTAGATTTTCTAAGGAAAATGTATGCCAGGGCATGATCAAGACAAGACGAAAGGATATGACTAAATTGTGATCGGGACCAATGGAGGACCCACTTACCTCAGTGAGATCACAAGTTGATTTAACTATTGAATGTCACTTCTCTCATTTTCTTCTTCCCTCAGGTTTCAGAAAGAAAGCCCCTCTCCCTTGTCAAAACTAACTGCTCCAACTAGTTTCCCATTTTTCTTACATCTCTCTCTCTCTCTCTCTCTCTCTCTCTCTCCCCTTCATCTCTTCCTTCTTTTCTGCTCCCCTTTTCCCTTCCCTTCCACCTTTTTACCACAGGCTTTTTATGCTCCAATCTCACTTGCTATGTGTCAGGCTCTGTGCTAAGCACCATAATAAAAATAATAATAGTAACAATAATAACTACCTTTATATAGCACTTATTAAATGCCAGCAATGTGCTCTTTACAATCATTATTTTATTTATCTCACAACAACCCTGGGGGGTAGGTGCAATTATCATCCCCATTTTACAGTTGAAGATATGAGGGCAAGCAGAGGTTAAGCGACGTGCATGGGTCATATAACTAGTAGGCATCTGAAGCCAAATTTGAACTCAGGTCTTCCTGACTCCAGGCCCCAGTGCTCCATCCACAGTGTCACTTGGCTAACTCAACACCGTGCATCAGCTGTCATGTCTCCATTGAATTTCCCTTAGCGCCTGGGACCTCCTCACTCTGGAACATCCATCCTTCCCTGAGGCCTTCTCATCCCGGAATATTTCTCTATCATTCTGGCCCTCTTTCCACAGTGGTTAGTCTCTCTTACGGCCTCCATTTTGGGAAGGGGCCCATGCTAGCTGACCTCCATTCCTCTCCTGGCTCTGCTTCTGAGTTTCTGGACATTGATATTTGGCCTCCATGTCTGTACCTACCCCTACCTCCCACCTTTATCACAGCTTCCTTTTGTATATTATCTTCCCCCGTTAGAACGTAAGCTACTTGAGGGCATGGACGGCTTTTCTTTTCATTTGTATTTTTTGCCCTATATTTACGCAGTGCCTAAAACATAGTCCACACTTCATAAATGCTTGTTGCCTTATTGGGTTTTTTTTGCCTGTTTTTTGTTTTTTGGGAAGAGGCAATTGTGGTTAAGTGACTTGCCCAGAGTCACATAGCTAGTGTTATGTGGCTGAGGCTGCATTTGAACTCAGGTCCTCCTGACCCCAGGGCAGGTGCTCTAGCCACTGCACCACCTAACTGCCCACTTTTTTTTTACCCCACTATTCCTAGTTCCTACCAGATAGCGACATTTCAATAGATGTTTGTGATCTGAAATAACAAAGATAAGATGTTATCTCAAGAATCAGTTACATTCTACAGGAAAGTATCTCATTTTTTTGTTTCTATTTTTGTTCTGTTTTATTTTTCCCACAGCAGAAGATTCTTCTTGCTTTTCCTCCCATATTTGTTTGTTTGTTTTTTTCTCTTAACTAAACAGGAAACTCCTATAATGAATAAATCTGGGCAAAACTGACTATCTGGCAAAAGTACTGTTACCTTAATATCAACATTGCTCTGAACAACAATTATATATAGACATACATAATACAGATGTAGATATAGATATAGATATAGGTGATATAAACAGATGTAGATATATAGATGCAGATAAAGCCAGAGTCTTGTCTGCAGTCAGAGAATTGGGGCTGAGTTGAAAATTTAACTCTTGACAACCACAGCAGCCCCTGGTATGTTGGAAGGTAGAAATGAATGAGATAACTCAGCTGTCACTTCCACATCAAATTATGTATTTAAGTGTAGCCATACATCTCAAAGTCATTCTAAGCCTTTTTATTGGCTTTTTTTTTAACTTACAGAAATGCCACAAACTGGGCTACGTAAGTGGAGGAAATAATGACCTTGTCCCCTGGACTTAGCATTGAATCTGCCTTTCCTTACCCCCTTAGCCATATGGTAAAACAAAAGAGGCTTAAGGTTTGAAAACTAGGGAACTTTAACTCTCAGAAATGTTTGATAAGAATCAGATAAATAACCATTATCCTGATTTATAGCCTAACCTTGAAAGATTGCGATTGGGAGGCATATGGAATCCTTACCATGAGCTAGAGCATTATTATTGCTCATGGAGACCCTAAGGTAAGGGACCAGGAAGTTGAGTCCAAAGAAAAAAATTGAATGGTGGCCATTAGCTTACTGGGAAGACTATGCTATTTGTTCTAATGAATATGGTACCTATGGCTGAGAATCTCTTGCTGAGGAGATGCGAGGTTTGGCAGCCATAACTCAGGAAACAAGACAAAACAGAACACAAGGGAAGACTTTTCTTAGTCCCAGGCAAGGGTTTCTGCCATTTATTTAAAAAAAATACAGAAAAAGTCTGTAGGCTTTAAGCTAAAAGATCATGGTGGCATCTACTCCTCTCAAGGAAGACATAGCAAAGGATTTCAGTTGATCCAGAAACTGGAGGCAGAGAATCCAAAGGAGCAACATTCAGTCAAGTAGCATCTGACAGAAACTACAAGATGAGCCATGGATCAATGAAGCATCCAGCAAAGCAGTAAAGGGGTGTTCATCAGAATGTGTCTGGAAGGAACTATACACCCCAACTAGCAGCGTTCAGACGAACAGCTTCTAGAAGACGCCGACTGGCCAAAAACAGCCCGTATAACAGTATCCAGAGGAGAGGAGGAGGCCGGCAGAGAGCAGGCCTAGCAGGAATACAAGGTGCCACCACTGGCGGACGTCAGCAGCTCTAAATTCTTGGGCCCTGCAGTGTATACCTCACTCCAGGTGCCTCCTACATATGCTCTCTATTGTCCTCAGGATGTGATCGCTGGGTAAATCTACTCTTGAGTGTAGATGTGTGGAAGCGTACACCCCAATTATACAGGCAAAGTGGGTTATTGTTACTTATCTTATTATGCTCTTTCATTAAATGCTTTAACTTGGAACTAATTGGATCCTCTAGCTGACCACTAAGGGCAAGCACATCAGTAGGAGTTCTGAGCAATGGTTTTAGGAGATATATAGACCAGTGGTGCAATGGTAGATGTTTAACAATTGGCTCTCTGAATGACATACTATTAAGTTTGATCTGCATTATTTACATTTTCCCTTAAATCTAGATAATCAACAAACCTATAAACCAAGTCCTGATTTGCAAATATTTGCCTGTTTCCAAGGTGTAAGTACTCACTGAATAGTTTATGATTGTTTTTCCCAAGCAAGTATAAGCTGGCTTCAGCACATCCCAGATTTAGACACATAAAACACCTTGAATCCGAGGGTCCTACCAGGTGAGTTACAGGGTTCCCCAAGGTGCTACATAAAAAATCAACAGGAAAAAGAAGTAGATTGGGGGGGGGCGCGTTACTGACTTTAGAAGTTTTAGGCTCTGGGTCCAGGCGCTAGCCTCACTTTGTTGCTACTATCCTTGATATTAGAGAGTTATGTGAAGTTATAGTTCCTGGGCTAGAAAATCAGCCTGTGCTTCTCTCTCCTTAATAATGGCTTCCATTTCTATAGAACATTAGGGCCCTCTTTTCTCATAATACTTCTGTGAGGTAGGTAGTATGCATGTTGTTATTATCACCTTCATATGCAAAAGAATGTCTGAGACCTTTGGTATCTGAAGTACCTCTATTTTCAGAGTAGATTTATTACAATCACCCAATAGCCTCTTGCTTCTGGAACTGGAGATAGAATAATTAGATCCCTCTGGCTTTCCTCCATTTCTCTGCTGCTGCTCTCCCTACTCTTTAAAATACTATCTATCAAAGCAATCTCTGATTGTAAAGAGCAATAGGCCATGTGCAGAGAAATCCAAAGGAAGAGAGAGAAATAAAACTAGCTTCATAGTTAAGCATTTCATTAGGGTTTCCCCTTTCCCTCCCATTATAAATGTACATATGTCCCTGTGTGCCACATTCTAAAGTTGAAGTGTTAAGTATTAACCTGTTTTGTGTCTGCCTGTAA